TCTTGTCCTGGTTGACACAGACATATGGGATCCTTCATACAAGGTTCCTTATCATGCAGTACCAACCTCATGGACTGGATTAGAAACTTCATGTGTGGATCCTTTCAGCTTCAGAAGATGACTTTGCAGGTCCCCAGGGGATGGAGCAAACTTCTGCCAGTGGCTGGTGGGCCACTATGGACATGTTCAATTGGGCAGAAGAAACCCCTAGAACAGCCCACTCACAACTCTCTCCATCCCTCTTTTCCTTCTGCAAGGTCCCTGTTTCACAGTGAGATGCTCTTGGAGAAGGTTCAGGTGCTTTGAATAGTAGTTAAGGGGTTTAATGTAACTTTGGAGTGTCTGAGATACCTGGTGCTCCCAGAGGTCATGAATTTGTCTTCACTGTCAGACTGGACAAACATAACCTCGCTCAGTACCTTTTTAATTATTATTGTTGTTGGTTTTATTATTATTGTCTTGTCATTACTCAAGCAGGAATTGTGGAGCTCTGCCCCAGTAAATGAAGAAAGATTTTTTTCCATGTTTTGAAGCCCACTTCTCTTTTCCTGTTGCAGATGAGACTCCAATTATAGCTGTGATGGTGGCCCTGTCTTCCCTTCTAGTCATAGTATTTATTATTATTGTGCTGTACATGTTAAGGTAAGAGATTTTTTCCTGCTGACTTCCCTTGTTTGACAGAAATTGATTCCTGCATGAATTACAGAATCATTCTGGTTGGAAAAGACCTTTAAGATCATTGAGTCCAACCATGACCCAACTCTGCCAAGTCCAGTGCTTAAACCATGTCCCTCAGCACCACATCTACACATCTTTTGAACACCTCCAGGGTGTACATAGCACTGGGGAGGCCCCACCTCAAGTGCTGTCTGCAGTTCTGGGCCCATCAGTGCAAGAAGGATCTGGAGGTGCTGGAGCAGGTCCAGAGGAGACAACAAGGCTGCTGAAGGGACTGGAGGTCAAGTCTTACAGGGAGAGGCTGAGGGAGCTGGGGTTGTTTAGCCTGGAGAAGAGGAGACTCAGGGGGGACCTTCTCACTCTCTACAACTACCTGAAGGGAGGTTGCAGTCAGGTGGGGACTGGGCTCTTCTCCCAGGCAACCAGTGACAGGATGAGAGGCCTGAAGCTGCACCAGGGGAGGTTTAGGTGGGACCTCAGGAAACACTTCCTCATGGAAAGGGTGATCAGACATTGGGACGGGCTGCCCAGGGCAGTGGTGGAGGCACCATCCCTGGAGGTGCTCAAGGAAAGGCTGGAGGTGGCACTTGGTGCCATGGTCTGGCTGATCTGGTGGTGTTGGTCATAGGCTGGGCTTGATGATCTCAGAGGTGTTTTCCAGCCTCAATAATCCTGTGCTCCTGTGAAAGAGGAATCATGAACAGGAATAAGCCCTTGTTGCTGTTTCCTCAGCTAAAGGCTGACACAGCTGGTGTATTAAAAAGAAACCTGTAAGGATAATCCAAATAATTTTAGGGATTATCTGGTAAATGCTTCTTCCTTTATCTATAAAGCTGGTCCTCATGTGGGACCAGCTGCTGAAAATGTCATATGTAGTAAAGATGAAACTGAAGTCCTATCAGTGCAGTTAAAACATCCTGTCAGTGCAGGTGAGGTTTCCTTGCAAGACTGAAGATGTTGGATTGAATAAGCCAGGGAAGCTGAACACAATCCTTAAGCTGGAAGGTCCTTTGCATGTATAACTGGGCGTGTTATTCCTTGATTCCCATCTTGGTGTTGAACCTCCAGAGCCAAGCTCCGCCTTGGGTACCAAACCTTTGTCTCATGCCTGGTCATTTTCCAGGGTGGGGTCAGATACAACTGGAGCTTGTTAGGAACAGCAGGTGATGCTGTAGCTGGAACTATAACTTAACAAAGCCTTTTTAGGTCTTTTTTTTTAGAAATCCAGGCATCTGGGCAGCTTAAATTGTAGCATTCCCAGTTCCTGAGTGCATATCTGCTCAGCTAGAAGAGAGTGTTTATTCACCTGCAGTAAACATTTTCATTTACTCAACAATTTGGTGATTAAATAAGTAAGGGGAGCAAAAGAAAAACCAACAAAAAAAAAAGCTCTCTCCCTAGCAGTGGAAAAATTCCCTTTGTCTTCTGGCTCCAGTCCTGCCCTCACAGCAGGGAACCTGATGAGGGTTTTGCCTCGGGAGTAGCAGAGTTTTGAGTCCTCCCCACCTGGCTTCCAGCCCTTAAAAGAAGGATTTCTGTTTGCTGCTGCCTGCCCAGTGATTCAGCAAAACCCTGAACTGGAGGCAGGCAGAGCTGAAGCATCTGCTTCAAGTTAAAAGCACAGGGAGAAGGACTTTGCTGCAGAAGGATGGATCAACCCGGGGTTTATGGGCTTTGTTGAATCAGCCTGTGGAGCAGGAACTCCTTGGGGTGACCTCCATAAAAAGCAGCCTTAAAGGTTCTCCTCCTGGCTTTTACCTCACTCTGGTCTCCTGCAGCCTTGCCAGATGTGGGCAGTTAAAAGTTACACCTGCAGGTCCTCTAACCTGTTGGACACACCAGCTGGTTCATCAAGCCATGAAAACGTGATGAATGCCCTTTGTGGCTGCATCCTGGCAGTGTTGAAGGGCAGGTTGGATGGGGTTTGGAGCAACCTGGTCTAGTGGGATGTGTCTCTGCCTGTGCAAGGGGGTTGGAACTAAATGATCCCTAAGGTCCCTTCCAATCCAAACCAGTCTGTGATTCTATGATCTATTACAGGACTCAGGAAATGGCAGGGGAGGTTTAGGTTGGGTATCAGGAAAAAGTTTTTCACCCAGAGGGGGGTTGAGCACTGGAACAGGCTCCCCAGGGCAGTGGTCCCAGCACCAAGCCTGCCTGGGTTCAAGAAGCATTTGGATGATGCTCTCAGGCACATGGTGTGACTCTTGGGGTGCCCTACACAGGGACAGGAGCTGCACTCAATGATCCTAATGGGTCCCTTCCAACTCAGCATAGTCTATGATTCCATGATGTCTCATCCAAAGGTAACCTGGGCTTCTTGGTTGCTGTCTACTGATGTTCTCCACTCCCTTGTCTTCTGCAGGTTCAAGAAATACAAGCAAGCAGGGAGTCACTCCAACTCCTTTCGTTTGTCCAACGGCCGGACGGATGATGCAGGTGAGACCCACGTCGGTGTCACACGGGGTAGCAAAAATACACCTCACAGGAGAAACCAGCTTTGTTCAGATCACATGGGTCAATGCAAACCTTCAGAATAACAAGGACATGTTTTCATCTTTTCTTTTTTTTCCCTGCTTGGAATCAGCCAAATGTAGTGAGTGAAATAACCAGCAGCTGTTCAGATCACATGGGTCAATGCAAACCTTCTTCAGAATAACAAGGGCATGTTTTCATCTTTTCTTTTTTTGTCCCTGCTTGGAATCAGCCAAATGAAGTGAGTGAAATAACCAGCAGTTCTCCTAGAAGTTGTAAAAATGACACAAATATCATAAAACCCTTGAAAAGGCAAAATCAGGGTTGGTTGATGCTCTGCAGGGAAGCTCTCTGGGCACCACAGAGTGACCCAGGTTGGTCTCCTGACCATGCAGTGCCTTTCCCCTTCCAACACAGCAGGAAATTCCTGGAAGTGGACAAAATGGAAAAATGAAGATTGTGTTTTGTTTGAGTATGGACTCGAAGGCAGCCCTGAGGATGTCTTCAGATTATTATTCCTGGTGGGAATTATATACATATTATACACCAGAATAAATAGAAATACAAATAAGAATATATTAATTATTAATAATATATTACAGACCTCTGTAAAAGTCTGGGAAAGCCCCTGGATGTGGCACTTTGGGAGCTGGAGCTCAGTGCAATGTGGGCTGGATGCCACAACTTTGTTCTCCCACCTTCTATTTTTGTAGGGAACTGTTTTATCATCTGCTTTTTTTATTTGGTTCTGGTTCTGAACTTTCTGTTTTCCATGATTTTGGCAAACTTTATAGAATGAAGATTTATTTCCCAACTTCCATTCCAGGGACAAAAATGTTTGCCCTCAAGTGGTCAATATTCAAATGTGTGTTCACTTCCAGCAATGAACTACTCACAGTTCCACTTGAGTTTTCAAAATATCTGTCTGACTGAAAAAGGAACCTTCTTTTAAAAAGCACATATTTGGGGAATAATTAAATTACCAAATACCCTTTTAAATCAGTATGATGGCTGATTAAAACTCAGATCTTTATACTAGCTGGAGACACCAAATTAAGATTTCCAAGAGAAAGCAGGGAACATTTTTTCCTCATAAAAACCTTTTTGGAGCTGTTGAAGATGCACAAATGTCATTTTAAAGGCTGCTGAAATGTGTTAAGTCCTTTTCTATCCCTGAGCTTGTCTGGTTTTCTGGCTTTGAGCCAGAGCTGCCCATTGAGGGTCTGAAGTTGAGCATCTCTGTCCATATATCAGCACCAAACTAAGAGCTGAAGAGGAGCCACCACCTTTTGGTTCAGAGCCTTTTTCTGAGCTCCCTCTACATAAACCAAACACCTTCAGACCAAGTGCTTAGCTAAAATCAGCACCTTTTTTTATCACTTTGGCAGCTGGGACCTTCCTTACCCAGGTTTTACATTGCTCTAAGGGAAGGTGTGAACTTCACAAGCTGCTGGCTGTGTTGGTATAACCCTCACATGGCCTTTCTTGGCTTCACTGAGGAACCACAAGCAGCAGCCACCTTTGCTATGTCCACCTGGGAGTTGTGTCATGGTGATGGTGCCTAAGTTTCCACATGAGTGAGAGTGAAGTCTGAGTGCCAAGTGAAGTCTTCATCCCTCAGTGCTGATGACTTAGAATCATAGAATAATTTTGGTTGGAAAAGACCTTAAAGAGTCCAGCCCTTCCCCCAGCCCTCCCAAGGCCACCCCTGCCCCATGTCCCTCAGCACCACATCTACAGGGCTTGGAAACCCCTCCAGGGATGGGGACTCTGCCCTGGGCAGCCTGGGCCAGGCCCTGACAACCCCTTCCAGGAAGAAATTGTTCCCAAGATCCAACCTAAACCTCCCTTGGCACAACTTGAGGCCGTTCCCTCTTGTCCTGTCACTTGTTCCTGGGGAGCAGAGCCCGACCCCCCTGGCTCCAACCTCCTCTCAGCAGCTGCAGAGCCAGCAGGTCTCCCCTCAGCTCCTTTGCTCCAGGCTGGACACCCCCAGCTCCCTCAGCTGCTCCTGCTCAC